CTATATTATTTCTTACGTTTCTTGTATTTTTTTCTCGACAAAAGATAATTACAGGGAACTTTTTTTGACAAAGATTAGGAGAAAAAGATAAAATAAGCCAGATTTTGGAGGATCCAAGAGCCTCAAGAAATTCAAAAACATTCTTTGTGCCCAGAGCTAACGGAAAGCAGTGAACAACAAATGATTTTAAACGAAAGGTGAACACATATGCTTCGAGGAATAAATTAATTTAGTTTTAATTAAATACGTATCAGAGGTAAACACATCAGACCTACTATTAGTTTCAAGTAGTTCTACGTTTCTATTAGGATCGGATAAAAATACTTGGCGTTATTATCAGACGTACAAAATGTTCGTAGTTTATAACAGGGGAAACAAAATATGTGAAACATGTGTAATTAATAAACTAAAAAGTTTTCAATATGTATCCTGGGTAAGTTGTGTGACCCTAGTCACAAGTTCAATTCACTCTTAGGAAAACAGTGTTTGACCATAGTAAGAAAAATCAAGTGGTTATAGATATACACCTGGTGCAGAGATTCGTGACTATAGTAACAAATTCATGTGGATATAAATATTCATCTGGGGCTGAGACGCGTTACCATAGTAACAAATTAATGTGGATATAGATATTCACCTGGGGCTGAGACGCGTTACCATAGGTGGATATTTATAACCACTTGATTTTGTTACTATGGTAACGCATCTCAGCCCCAGGTGGATATCTATATCCACTTGATTTTGTTGATCTAAAAAAGATGTGTGATCAAAGTAGAGTTGAGTGATTTAATCGGTTACCTATGAGCAGTGATTATATCGATTAATGTCACGAACATAATTAACTAATCAAAATTAGTTGTTTCGATTATTACTGTTTTCGATTGTTCTAATAATTTCGATTGTTCCGAATATTTAAGTATTTCGAAATATTGTCATTACGTTTGTTTGTTGTTAAGCGCAAAGCTGCTTAATGGGCGTCCTTCTCCAGTGGCTCCACATTATGTCAGAAGGATGATAACTAAAAACTGGGTTTCGATATCCGTAGTGAGCAAAGCACAGATTGTCCACTGTATAGCTTTGTGCTTAGTAACAAACAAACACAACGGGTGTGGGTGATGCTTCGTGATTTGAGTATCTCGGGTTCGATTCCCATCGCCTCTAAATTTCCTCGTCGTCTCTTTGATATTGCAAAGCTACTAAGGCTATCTGTCACTGTCACTAATTTTCAACTGCTAACTAAAGGAAGGCAACTGACTAGTAGCACCCATCGCCAACTCTCTAGCTACTTAAGTATTGAATAAAGTGTAAATTTACTTCTTATTTTTTTTTTTACACAATGTTACGTTTCTAATTTATAAGTGTTTAACCATATTCTTTAATGTTTATAAGCTGGCGCAAATCTGGGGAAGGGGCCAAGGGAGTACGGATCCCCGTCTGCTTTTGCTCTAGAGATTAATAACTGTATTTTTAATGTTTTATAAACAGGCGTGGATCTAGTGGAGAGGAGCGAGAGGTTTAAAACTCCCACCCTACCCCTTCAACCTAATGTTTGCAGAAACTAATAACTGTATCATTTGATGTTATATAAGTAGGCACAAATATAAGGGGGCCGTAAACCCCTCTATGTTTTTACAAAAAAAAAAAAGCGACCAATACTATCAAAGAGAAATATTGAATGTCAGAGATTTATTTTTATTGGTCTATTAATTACTGCAAAAGCTCTTTTTTTTCTTAAGTTTGAAAAGATAAGTCTACAGGAAGTCGGTTACGGTCTCAGTCAATAACTGATTATATCTTAGTGTATATAACAATGTGATCGTCAATTAAACGTTGCCATGGTAAATTTTCACGTCTTGGCCTCTTCCAGACATTCGAACAACGTGTTCTTTAGACTTTAGGGATTTGTCTTCGTTATGTTAATGCTTAGGTCACCTTCAACTCTTATAACATATACTTGTTTCAGAATCGATTTTTTATTGTTCGGAAATTATAACACTCGCGAAAAAGATGTTTTGTTCCCAATCAAAATAAGCGAAAATGTAAGTATTATGACTGTATAAGTAACGACTTCAAATTAAAAACAAGCATCTTGTTGACCAATGTAAAAATATGGATTTAGGTGTAGACTTAATTATTTTTTTTAAATATAATTATACATATTTAATTTCAGTTATAAAATTTCAAATGATTGTCTTTAACAGTTCCTATTTTCATATCAATCACATTACTAGAAATAAAGATAGAAGCTTTGAAACTATTGGATTATCTCGTCATTGAGTTACTCATAATGATTCGTAGGCTTCCTAATTGAATCCCCCCCCAAGTGGCACAGCGGTATGTCTGCGGACTTACAACGCTAGAATCCGGGTTTCGATACCCGTGGTGGGCAGAGCACAAATAGCCCATTGTGTAGCTTTGTGCTTAATTACAAATAAACAAACCTAATTGAATTTATTACTAAAGTTACTAGTAATGTGTAGTTATGAGGTACCAAATGACATATATACAGATATACAGTTAATATTAGCAATTTATCCGCGAAGTAAGAAATGTCCATAAAACTTGTGGGAATTTTTTTCGCAAATATGCAAATGACGACCTTCAAAAGAGGTCTATCACATGAAATTAAGGGTAATTCGAAAATTACTTCAAACAAACAAATCACTATAAAATAAAATGGGAAAATTAGTACTATGTTACAGTAATGTAGTGGTTAAAGCACATACACGTTTATTTATATATTTTTTGCTTGGATGGGTTTTAGGGGCATAATGTACTAATCGATTAATGAGCCAATCGATTAGTAAATACCACTAATCCTACAGGTGTGTGTCATAGTTACGAAATCAAGCGGTTATGAATGGGTATAATTATATGTCTAATGCAGAAAAATACTCGACTTGTTTTTAAGTTTTAAGTGTGGTCGATTAACCTTAGTAAAGCATTCGAATAATCGTAATTTCCGAAAGTATAATCATGAATTTTACAGAGGGTTGTGTTCATTATGCCCAACGATTTTGAATATGCAAACGAATGAGTCACGTGACAATCACAGTTGATATAAAGTCACGATAGAACAGAATGTATCAGAAGTATATTTTGACATTGTTTGGCATTTTAATAGACAGTGTGATGTCAGAATATGGATCGCTTTTGGGAAAGATATATAATAAGCCTTTATCACGCAAAGTATTTATACACTCAGATCCAAGACGGGGATATCCCTCGTATTTAATAATATTGAAAAACAAATGAATAAACTTGAGGCAACAGGACCATCCAGAAAGAGATTTGCAACAAGTCTTACCCCAAGCATGGTAAGCAAAGTACAGCGTCTTGTAACAGGTGACAATCCAGGAACACAAAGGTAAGTAACAAAAGCTGTTCGCGTGCCACAGGCAATAGTATACTACTTAGTCAAGAAGATCTCAGCCTGGAAAAGCGACACCAGTCGCGTGAACACAGGTTACTTCCTTAAACAGCTAGCAAAAGAAAAGGTTATTTATGCTATTCCATACGAAGGCATATGTAAAGTTATCGATTTCTTTGTAATCAGGCTGTTGAAACGAGCGATGGGAAACCGTTCGTACAGTATATGGCTTATGTAAAGCAAGCAGGGAGGTGGAGTGTGTTCTGTACATGACAGACTTACGATAGGTCATTTGAAATAGAACTTCACTGCGAGTTAAGATGCACGGTTTTCAGATAGAGTATGCTTCGACGTGGAAACAAGGGCTGTAACGATGTGGCGAGGCCTAAATCGTTTTAATATAACGTAATCCACCTCTGTAGTACCGAACGTACACTGCTCTGTTTGATGAATTGGATGTTGCGTTCTAGTGATAAACTCAATGTTTTTCAGCATCCTTCTCAATTTATCAACAACTATAAAAACTGACGACCAGATGTGCAAATGTTGCAATATATCTGCAATAATCAAAGTGATTTTAAATGTGAATAAACGTATATTAGCCTATAGAGCAACTAGCATGCAACTGTAAATTCATCTAGCACTTGCCATTCGCGTGTAAATAAAAAATTACTTTTGGTGCTATTCAAATTCATGACAAACTCTTCTTAGGATTGGATTGGATCACCATTAGTTGTGATAGTGACCTAGCTTTGGCTTGTCATACACTCCAAAAGATCTCAACAGTAAGAGCTGAGTTTGAAATTCCCCACACCATTATGTCACTTCCAGCAGCTTACACTAACTGGAAAACAGGAATTAAGTGAAGTGCTTCGTGTGGTTTTCTCCACATTGTTACTTTATAGCTGCCACTGAAAAAGATGAAACGTAAATCGTTAAACCAAATTACTCGCTTCCAATCATTTATTGTTCATAGTTTGAGCTTCAAATACCGCTGAAATGATGCTGAGATAAGAGGGGTTTAAAATATTTTTTGGCTGAATTATGACAGTTTTGTAATTCGCATTATATGGTATAATTGGAAGTAGTTGAATCCTGACCACTGCTGAACGAATCGGTCAATCAGATAGTCTTACATTTGTCGCATCTTACAATCCTGGTCTACAGTATTTTTATCTCAATCAGTTACCAACGATTGGTTGCTACAATTTTCCTTATGACATAGACTTATATGGCTTTCAACTGTAAGTTTTGATAGACTAAGAACATATATGTCTTTGAACAATCAATTAAAGTATAGTTTTTGATAACGACGCGTCTGCTCGACATGAACTCTCTATTATGCCACTATGAATATCAGAAAGATCATTCTACTACCAACTGTCGTAAAGGTTAAGCATGATATGAATACATTTCTCTATTTTTGGGCTTCAAGCTTTACCTGACACGTAATATGATTAGCATACATTAAACATGAAAATTGTGCTTGGAGAGGTCCTAAAAAAAGTGACCAGTCAGTTTGTAATGATAGCAACAAATATACATAGTTTTAAAGTATCTGAGGCAAACCTAACAACGTACACACTAGGCTGTTCAAGTGTATCTGAGGTAACCCAACTAACACACTTACCTGGTTATGAAGGGGTGTTTGAGGTAGAGATGAATGAGTTGTTGGGTCAGAGGGTATATCAAAATCTACACTAACAATCCTCACACGCATCATCAAACCACGTCGCCTCATTATAACAGGCATGTCTTCTTCATACATGGTGGTTTCTTGTGAAGCAGAGGTTTGGTGATAATCGGGATTCGAACAATAATTCTTTTGAGTTTGAAGATCTTCTTGATCGTGTGAGGGTGAGCTATTAATACATGTATATGAATCAATACACTTTGAACTCTTAATATTCACACTGTCTTGTCTACGTGAATCTGCGTTCGTAGAAAAAACAGGTTCAGAACCCAGGGCACTTGACGGTAAAGAAACCGTGTTTCCTGTCTGTCGCTGTCTTCTCTGTGGAAAATTAGAAGTGAGTTCCAAATCCTGTCGAAGAAAGTAACCCCTTGGTGCGTGCATATGTTCTCTTGGTTTCGGCAAAGTGGAACTCGACACACTAGACGTTGCCGTAAAGTTAGAAACCCGATTGTTAGGGTATTCTTGCTGTTTAGATTCCTCTGAATGAAAACTTTCTTTATACTTTTGTTCACCAACAACGTCTTTTAATGAAATTTCGCAGGATTTTTGTTTTTTACTGGAAACAACGGCCACCATACTGTTAATAGGTCTTGTTCCTGACGTTTTACTTGACGGTATATCTTGTTGAACTAAAGAATTGTTTTTTTGACTAGTTGCTACTACGGTTGCTGAAGCTTGCAAACTGTCAATATATCTTGCTTCAGGCATTTTCCAAGGTGCAACATAATGTTGAGAAGACATTTCTGGAATAGTTGTTGCCATGGTTACTATACTGTCAGCGGATTTTGGCCCTGATATTTTCCATGACGATAAATCTTGCCGAGAAGTTGTTTCCGAACTAGCTGTTACCATGGTTAGAGTGGTTATCATGGTGTTGACAGATCCTGTATTCGACGGAAGATCTTCCTGACCTATAGAGGAGCCAGTTGTTCCACCTACACGTAGTTTACGAGAGTCTAACATTATAGTAAAGATGTACAATCTTACGGCTTGTAAAGAAATATCGCAGACTTTTAGAGTATCTTAATAACTTAAAAATTTTCTAATAATCATTGAAAACTGATACATCGTTCTTTCGAATTGACATATCCTTCTTTTCTTGGCAAAACATCAAATACAAACAATAATATTCTGAGCATGGACCAAGACCAGTTTGAAAAATAAAGAAAACCGAGAGGAATTCACAACTTAGTAAAGGAATACTCAGTTGGTTCGTTCCTCAATTCTATTGCTTAAAAAGTTTCTTTCAAGACGCGAACATTTTCGTAAGGAGGTCTCAAACATTATCCTATTTTTCTAATAACAGAACGTGATTGGAAAAATGAGCTGGGGGTTGGAGGGGGTAAATAAATATTGTCTCAATCTATGTAAAGATACAGAATATTCAATACAGGAGTGAAAGCGCATAGTAAACAACAGTTAAGGAAGGGTTCTCTCTCTCTTGTATAGAAAGATATACAGTCTCGCCTAAGCTGCTTCGTTAACAGCCATTCTCCAGCGCTGGTGTTCTGAGCACTAATTCCCAGTACAGTAGAATACCTGCTTACCAGGTGTAGTGAGGCTGGATGTTCCCAACGTCCGCCTCACACTGATGGTGAAGGCTCGTCTGTTTGTACTGAATCAATAGCACACACACGCGCGCGCTACGTCATTCCCTACAGTTCACTTGACATTTAGTAACGGAAGATATTTTTACGTTTCTAATATGAAGGAAGATCGGATCTGGCAGGTAGGTTTTGTTGAAAGGTTTATATTTTCTTACTTTTTAAGACCTATAAGACACTGAACTTCCTTTCACTTGCTGAGACGAAAACAAAAAAGAGCACCTGAAGTATCGTTCAAAACGGTAAATAAAAGGCGAGGTTAATACGAATTGAACATTTTAAACCAAAATACACCAATAAAATTATCAGTCCGTACAGTTCCACGATCTCTTCTTTTATAAAACAGATTACTCATCTATTCTATCCCATCATTTAGCATTTCCTGTCTCCATCATCTGGAAAGCGAAACAGTAATGATGAAGTATAAAATACGTTGTGTTTGTGCCTCTTCTCTCTCGCGCGCACGCACGCGCATGTGCCACAGAATTTCAAGAAGGAACGCTCTAATTAAGTCTGAGTGTCCTTGAGAATTTTGTATAAGTATATACCTACCATTCGATGTGTACATCTGAACAAGTACTTGTTAATGTTACATATCTAAAATGCGCCTTCTAACACACAACTCCCAAAATATAGTTATTCAGACATTTTTTGCTGTACCAGATTCTATTAAACAAGTTACATATATTCTTCTCACATACTGTCAAAACTGCTAACTAACGCTTCATATATTTCATAGACCTTACCCCCCAAAAGAACAATATTAATGTACATATCCTTCCAAGTCGTTGGATAAGATAAGAGCTTTTTTCACGTTGATACTAAAATTCTTCTTTCTTTTCAAAATCCTGCAAAGCAGTGAATTACATCAATTCACCAACAGGGGCGAACTGAAACTCTTTCAGTCACAAGGTGTCATAAAATTGAGTTTTATCATATAGGTCTTGTATAGTTTATCAGGCTGTGCGACAAGTAATGTAGTTTTATGCATTCTTGCCAAGACTATTAGACCATAACCAGCGCCTACACTTAACTAAAACACTGAAAACATTAAGCTATATTAAAAATAATACCATTGAAAAGATACATAAAAAAATATTTTCTTCATGATAACAACTACGGGAGGAAATAAAATATATTTTGTTTCTTTACAGTAAACAACTACGTACTGTGCTCTTAATAACTTATTTACATATATAAAGCACAAAAATCTTTGTGTCCGTCTGTCTGTCCTTTATCTAACTACTCCTAGGTCGCTGAACCAATCTCAACTAGATTTTGTGAGATGATAACTTGCAACAGGGGGCATGTTATTGGGGGTTCACAACCCCCTCTACCCCATTATTTCTGTTATTTAGTATTTTGTATCTTTGACATAAATTAACGTTAAATACTTTTATAGATGGCGCCACGTCCTTACATAATTTTTTTTTATTAAACTTGCTATAACACAACATAAACATAGTATAGGGGGAGTGCACACAAACGTCTTATATATATATTAGAGTGTGCGCTAGTAATCTCTATGGAGGAATGCAATGAAAAAAATGGCCGACACTATTGGAACACTACATAAACTCAGCTGAAGTTTCTACTCCAATAGTCACCATAAGGCTGATATGATAAGCCGTTTCTTGAGTTATACTAAATCCCTACTTTGACCCGTGACCTTTCAACTTCGGCCCATAATACACTCCAGCAGCCAATGACCGTCAATTAATTAATCACGTAAAACACTGTAAGCGTGTAACAGAAAGCACCCCTACCACTACTACATTGTCCACTACCTCTTCCTACAACGTCACCCTGACCATCGCACAGTGTATACCATGTTTTAAATATATACATATTGAATTCTTAAAGATTATGCAAAACTTTTGGTAAGGTAATAATTAATACTGCAATAATATGTTATATTATAAATAAATTGTGTGAAAGTTAGGATTTTTGTTTTATTTATCATAGCATCCACCCTGGACAAATGACGGGTGCATCAGTTTGTATGAAATAAATAGGTATCTTTACGTTTCTACAATCTGTTGGACTTAAACTAATATATTGCAAAAATAACAATTTTTATTTCCATAAGCAAAACAAAATCTGACACTATTCTGTAGAATGTTGATCGACAGCAGAAATATATATAGAGTAATTTTGAATTTGATGCTAATATTTTATAGTAATGATTGCTTTATGTTTCTAATTGTAATAGTTGACTTCATTGAAAGCTTCACTCCCTCTGTGTGTTTACTATCATTACAACGAGTTAATATATTCAGAAAACGAGAAAATGTAACACATTTGAGTACTACTTGTTTCTAAACACAGTCTATGTGTTCCATTACTTTCAATGTTATATTAAACTTAGTATAAGTTGAAAAAAGGAGGAAGATCAGATAAAGGGATTTGCGAAATTAAAGCGATAAAAAACAATGTTTAAAATGAAATTCATCAGGAATGATGTTGCAAAAACGAAGTTAATCATAAATAATCTTTCTGACAAACATTTAGCAGGAGTTGTTCTTACGAACAGTAATCGCTCGAAGTTTCCTTGCCAATTAACAATAACTTAAAATTTCTGATAAATCTTTAATCCATTAATTTTATTGTAATAGCTCTTTAGAACTTATAACCTCTTGCTTCACATTTCCTAATAACTCCATGATATCCACCATCTTGTCAATCCTCAGTTCTTAACTTTAGAACGAGGCCTTTCTACACAGGCTGGATTATAGCTATTTCAGTCAATAAACCAGATGTCGAAACACACTGCTACGACTAAACTTCTCTCACTTGAACTCAACGTTCTGTAATTTAGTTTTATGTTTTACATGTTTGATAGAAGACTGCGCGAACATTAAGAACATTTTGCGCTCTGTGTGTTTGTGTGTGTATAAACAAAGATTATTTGAAGTATCGAAGAAGGTTTTTCAATATATTCTACGCGTAACATGAAATAAATAAAAAATCCTGCGATACTGGTGTCTATGCAAGAGTTATTTTCTGTAGAAGGGGTTGTTGAACATCCATTTCACATGTCACATTTTTGAATTATTATTTACGACAATTTTATAACATCATTTTTATTCAGTCCTCGTTCTTTATTTCAGTACATAGAACTTAGGACTCTTCCAAATGAAATATAAAACTAAAGTAATGTATTAATGAAATTACAAACAATGAAATTATGCAACAATGAGAATTACAAAAGAAAAGATGGTTATATTGTGAACCGACTTCCGACCGATATTAAGTCAAACTCTGTGACCTGCAGGGGTGTGTAGGAGGTGGCTCAAGGTCACCTGTGAAATTCCTATTCTTATACACTTTAGAACAATGCATACAAAATAGTTTAGCAAAATTTAGCCGCACAGATAAAATAATATGTTAAAATTATGAGAACATACTGTGTTTGATAGGACATAGGAACTAAGGAAAAGTGCACCCTTCGGGTACGGTTCAGAATTTGCACCTTCTGTGTATCAATCAAAACCTTCGCCCTATTTGTATGGGTCAGAGTCTGCACTTTACGTGTATGGGTTAGAATCTGCACCTTATGTGTATGATTGAGAACCTGCACTCTATATGGATGAACCAGAATATCCACCCTCTGTGGATAGATTAGGATCTACACCTTCTGTGAGTAGGTCAGAATCTACACCCTCTGTGTGTGGGTTAGTATTTGCACCCTATATATATGAGTCAGAATTCGCACCATATATGGATGGATCAGAATCTGCACCCTATGTATATGGGTCAAAATATACACCTTTTGTGTATGGATTACAATCTACACCCTATAAGTATTGATCAAAATCTGCACCCTCTGTGTGTAGGGCAGAATTTGCACCTTCTGTGAGTGAGGTAGAATCTGTACCTTATATATATATTAGTCAGAAGCTTCACCCTACATGGATGGATTAGAATCTGCAACTTGTATGAGTGGGTCAGAATCTGCACCCTATGTATATGAGTCAGAAACTTCACCCTATATGGATGGATCAGAATCATTCTGTATATATTTTTTTCTCATTTCTCTCAAACTGTCCATTTCGGATTCAGAATCTGAAGGGTGTAAAAACAACATTTCAGATCTATCGCTTTCTCCCACAAGTCACTGTCCAAGAGGCCTTTCATACAATACTAGAAATATGAATTAGCCTGGACTATGAGAGACAAATATTTTTTGAAACACAATTTATAAATATGCAGTATAATACTTTAAAAGTTACGGTTTAAATGCCAAAGCAGGAGAAGCGTTAGAAACAAACAGGCCTAAAATTTTTGATAAAAGTCACGTAGACTGAAGATGTCGTTGTTTTTCTTCACATTCCTCTCAATTTTCTTTTTTTCTTTTTTCAGTACGAGGATAGCCAGAGGCCTCGGCAAATACATGCTGGAAAAATTGACTTATAGCTGTCGTTTATGCCGAATCTGGGTGATTTTAGAGATGAAAATAAAAGTAAACCACTCTGGTACTGCCTTTACTGCAATTTATATAAAATAAGTTCTATGTTTACATTTTCAGTTGCCTGAATAAAAAATCTTAACTTTACTAACCAGTTTCTATTAGACAAATTACATAATCTCTTCTGTGGCCACACGTACTCTTCACCTATTGCATAAATCCCACACCCGAGAAGGACAAAATCTGCACTTCAAATCTTTACACGCATCACTAAGAGATTATTCTGATGAGCATTAATCGCTTGAAGCGTCGTTCATAATTGGCAAATAAATTAATTTTGTTTTTCGTTTTTGATAAAGCTTTAATCGTTTAAGCCTACTCTGACGGTTTCTTTCTCCTGGAGAAAAACATGCCAACTTAAATGGATCACTGACCAGAGTAATGTTGCTTAACAGCAAAATATGCACAGTAAACTTAAATTCAATATGTTATAATCATTTTTGTTCTACGTTTTCTTAATTATAACTTCATTGATAGCTTTACTGTGAAATATGTAACTTTCTAATTTATAATTGTTTTAATTTTTTACTAAGAATTATTCTTGTTTCTACAGACTTGGCTTGGCCAAAATGTTTGCATACTGTTCAATATTGATGTTATTATATACATGCATGGAGTAGATATTAAGTAAATGCCCGAGTAGTAACACAGAAGGTAGCGTATGATCAGACAAAAATGTACGAGTTGTTATTCTGGTCTGTATAAGTTGTTATTATCATTTGTTCGTCAAAACACATGCATACACATCTGTTTTGTATAAGAGGGTGTGCTTTTGGTATAATATATTTCGAAACAGATCAACGCTTTGTTCAGACAATTTCTCTGCACTTGGTGTAGAATCATGCCTCGTCACGAGCCTGAAGTTA